ACCCTGGGGCCCAGTCCTTACAAGTCCTGGGGGCCCTCTAGGGGATGTGAGTCTGTATCAGGAGGTCCACAATCCCCTGACAAGTCCCAAGGTGGTGAGTAGGATCCTTGACTGTCCCTAATGCCAATGTGCACTTCGGGTGAGGCAGACCCCACGCCTGTTCCCTGCATGATCCCATGTCATCCTCATGTAATCCTTGGAGGCACATAGCTTATTTATCCCCATGGCACCTATGAGACTTCAAGGGGTTAAGGAACTTGCTCAAATTTGCACGGCTAGGGTGAGGCAGAGTGAGGATTTGAACCAAGGTTTGACTGACATCAGAGTCTGTGCTTTTAACTCCTGTGCTATATTAAGTCTGGCGACCCCCCTGGTTGATTGGCTCAGTAAGAGGAGGAGGATTTGTGGGGGATTTGCTTGTGGTTGGGGTGGCTGTCCCCCTCTCATATCAAGCGATGGGAAAGGGTAGCACTGACGTCAATTATTGCCATGGTGATACAGCAACCCTTTCCCTGCTGTCTCCATGGTAACCTGGGGGGTCCATCTGTACTTCGCCCCCTCCTTCTAAAAGGGGGTCCCTTAGGGAGGGGCTGGCTAATAAGGTGTCTGAGAAAGAAGTCAGGGAAGGCAGTGATTCGAGCATCCCCCTTTGCCTGGCCCCTCCCCATTCCTCAGGCCCAGAGAGTAAGGCTGGGATCTACATTGGGTCCTGCACTGGGGTCTGGGGACAGATGTACCCTTTAGGGTAAGGGAGGCAGCTCTGTCTTTGCTACCTGGGGATTCCCCTGGAAATTCCCCTGCCCCCAATCCCCCCACCAAGTTCTTAGGCTCCTGAACAGAACTGCTAGGAAGTTGGCAGAGAGAGACAAGAGGGTTTCCTCAGCCCTCTTCAGGGCTGGACATCACCCAACCCCTGGGGACAGTGTCTTTGGCTGTCTGGCTCTCTGCTGCCCCTTGAAGCCAAAGGTAGGAGCAGCAGCCATAGCAGTCTCTCTTGCTTATCAAGTGGTAGCTGTGGCAGTGATTCTTGCGTGGTGCTATACATAGAGGTCCTTGCTGAAACTTTCCACCAGGTGTCAATTAACCCCACTTTACAGATTTGAAGATGGAGGCTCAGAGGGGCTAAGTAACTAGCTCAAGATTGCACAGTTAGAAAAACAGAGTCAGGGCCGGGCACGGTGGCTCACACCTGTAATCCCAGCACTTTGGGAGGCCGAGGCGGGCGGATCACGAGGTCAGGAGATCAAGACCATCCTGGCTAACACGGTGAAACCCTGTCTCTACTAAAAAATACAAAAAAAAAAAAACAGAGTCAGGACCTGAACTCAGCACTAGTTTCGGCCAGTGGCTTTTCCAGTGAGAAGGAGGAAGAAGAAACAGAGACCAGGATGGAAGAGAAGAGAAATAGGAGAGTGAAGTGACCCAGCTAGGAACCTGTCATACTCTGCCTGCCTGCAGAACAAAATTCAGACTCCTTCACCTGGTATGCAAAGGTCTCCTTGATCCAGCTTCTCTTCTATTAACCCATTCCTGGATCCCCTGCATTCTACGCTCTGAAAGGGAAAATGATGTCAAATTCAGGCCTGGATTCTCAGTACCAGCCATGGCCCAGGAAGGTGTTGACGAAAATTGATGAACTGAGTTTCTTGAACTTGTCCTTCACTTTCCTGCCTCCAGGCCTTTACCCACAATGCTTCCTCCCCAAAGGGAATGCCCTTCCCCTTGCTCATGGACATTCTAGAGCTAACTAGTCCCACTGGCAAGGACTGCATCTAGAATCTTTGTATCCTTCACAAATCAGGCATGTGGGACGTGGCAGTAACTGGTTCTAATTTTTTTTTTTTTTTTTCTTTGAGATGCAGTCTCACTCTGTCACCCAGGCTGGAGTGCAGTGGCGCGATCTCGTCTAACTGCAAGCTCCACCTCCCGGGTTCACACCATTCTCCTGCCTCAGCCTCCCGAGTAGCTGAGACTACAGGCTTCTGCCACCATGCCTGGCTATTTTTTTTGTATTTTTAGTAGAGATGGGTTTCACCATGTTATCCAGGATGGTCTCGATCTCCCGACCTTATGATTCACCCGCCTCGGCCTCGCAAAGTGCTAGGATTACAGGTGTGAGCCACCGCACCTGTTCTAATTTTTTTTAGAGTCAGCATCTCACTCTGTTGCTCTGGCTGGAGTGCAGTGGTGTGAACTTGGCTCATTGCAGCCTCAAACTCCTGGGCTTAAGCAATCCTCCTGCCTCAGGCTCCCCAGTAGCTAGGACTACAGGCACATGTCATCATACCTGGTTTTTGGGTTTTGTTTCGTTTTTAGAGATGGGATCCTGCTGTTTTCCATGCTGGTCTTGAACTCCTGGGCTTAAGTGATCCTCGTGCCTCAGCCTCCCAAAGTGCTGGGATTACAGGCCTGAGCCACCATGCCTGGCCTATTTTTTTTTTTTTTTAAGGAAAGGAAGGTTGAGAAGACAGGAGAAAGGCAGTGGGAGAGATGGGAGAAAAAAAAAAAAGGAAGAATGAGAAGGATTCACTATTTGGGGGCTGGTAGAGTCCAAAGAGACCAGCTGATGCCTTTTTTTTTTTTTTTTTTTAATTAAAAAAAACCAGTGAGGAAATAGGCCCTTTTAATAAGCCTCCTACATGGGGACTGCCTGGGACAGCATTTTATGTGGAAACTGAGAAGGGTATCCCTTTTGGGTGACTGTGGAATTCTAAGGTGCTGTAGGGAGAGTCTGGACTTCTCTACCCCATGAGGATTAGATGCGGGTGTTGAATTAATTGTCCTTAGATCTCAGGGTACAGGAGACTGAACCTAACCTTTAGGTTACACTCCCTCCATACAAAATTGGAAAGCAGAATATACGGGCTCATTAAAGCAAAATTGGAAAGTAGAAAATAGTTGCTTAAATACTACCACTTCCGGGCAGGCTTCCTGTCATGGGCCCCTCCGAGGGTAGATCTTAGGGCATGTGGTCTGAGGATGCCAAGGAGTGTGCTAGTGTCACTTCTCATTGGGGGAACTGAGTCTCAAAGGCTCAGTTCACTCATCTGTAAAATAGGAAGTTAAACCAACTTCTTTCTTTCTCTTTCTTTTTTTTCTTTTTTTTGATAGAGTCTTGCTCTGTTGCCCAGGCTGGAGTGCAGTGGCATGATCTTAGCTCACTGCAACCTCTGCCTTCTGGGTTCAAGTGATTCTCCTGCCTCAGCCTCCCGAGTAGCTAGGATTACAGGTGTGTACCACCACACCCAGCTAATTTTTATATTTTTAGTAGAGATGGGGTGTCACCATGTTGGCCAGGCTGGTCTCAAACTCCTGACCTCGTGATCCACCTGCCTTGGCCTCCCAAAGTGCTGGGATTACAGGCGTCAGCCAGCATGACCAGCAAGCCAAGGTTTTTCAAATGGCCTCTCCCCCAGTCTTTTTATGATCCCTTCTGTCCTAGGAGAAACCAAGTCTCAGGATGGACTAGGGCAGCTCCAAACCCTTCCAACAAGGAAGGCCCCAGGCGCCTAGGACCGCAAAGAGCAAGTCCCAGAACCATCTTCTGGCTGGAGAGGATTAAAATGGGCCTGGTGGGGCGTCTGTAGTCTCAGCTACTCGGGAGGCTGAGGCAGGAGAATTGTTTGAACCTGGGAGGCGGAGGTTGCAGTGAGCAGAGATCGCGCCATTGCACTCCAGCCTGGGAAACAGCGAGACTTCGTCTCAAAAAATATGTATAATAATAAATAAATAAATAAATAATGGGCCTGGTGTGGGTGGCCACTGGCTGTATTCTATGTTACTTGTCGGCCCACCTCTCCCTCCTGTCCCCCACTTCTGTGGGTCACTGGGGTCCAGCACAGTGATGTGAATTTCACCAGAGAACTAGGAGAGGGTTAGAGAGATCTCGGACAAGGGCAGGGCCCCAGGGGAAAGGTTGCCCAGCAAAAAATGGGAGGAGCGAAGTGGCATAGGTTGAAAGGTGGAAGGGCAGGCCCCTGGGGCTGTGTCCAAGCGAGGAGGCCGCGGAAGGGAAAGTGTTATTGGACTGGACAGAGCAGCTAGTGGGCCCGACGGATAGACATACACTGCCAGCCCGGAGTGGAAAGAACAGTTTATGCTGTGCTTTATTAAAATGTGCATCATTTATTTTAAAATGTGCATCATTGTCTCGTGCTCGGCGCATGCGACCTCAGCGTGGTGGCCCGCGGGGGGGCCTCGTTCCCGCCCAGCTCCCGCGGAGCCGCAGGGAGCAGGCGCACTCACGTGGCGCGGGCCCGGGGGCTCCCGCCCATGGCCAGGTAGACGTCGATGGGCACGTGCAGCAGCGTCAGGCAGTGGCATCCGGGGCAGCGACGAAGCGGCCTGGGGAAAGCGGGGCGCGACAGGGGGCGCTGAGGCGGGGGCCCGGCCCATCCTGTGGGGCACATCCAGGGAGTGCACCTGGGTCCCCGGGGGTCCGGACGTGGATGCGGGGACCTGACTGCTGGGGGCGCCAAGTGGGACCGAGGGCGGGGCCGCGGGACGGGCGGAGGGGGTTGGCGCGGGCCTCACCTGACCGGGTTGTGCTCCGTCGCTACCGCCTCCGGGCTGTCCTGGGACTCGGGGGAGGCGGCAAGGCCACGGGAGTCTCCGGCCTCAATGGGGAATCTCCGACCCTGCGGGGGCTCCTGGGCGCTCATGTCCAGGCCCCGGGGCGCTCTGCGCGGGGAGTGGCGGTCAGGCCTCTCCCGGGCAGCCGGGCGCCGCCGCCTCGCGCCCGCCCCCTGGGCCGTCGCTCACCTCCCGGAGGCTGAGACCGGTCCCAGGCTGGAAGCAGCTGCCCGAGCCCTGGCCGCGGGAGAACGCTCCGGTCCAGGCGGAGCCGGGCAGGTCTCTGCGGCGGGCCCGGACCCGGGCGTCGAGGAGGGCAGCATTGTGACCCGGGCCGCGGCACGCTGACCTCACAGAACCCGTTCCTCCCACTGGAGAACCCCCAACGGCGCCCCCGGCCGCCCCTGGCACTCAGCGCGGGCCGGAACCGGGGACTGGAGGGATCTGGCCATGGCGCCTGGAGACGGGGTAGCGCAGACCCCAGCCACCCGATGGGGGCGCAGCAGGCCAGGGCAACCCGCCGCGAGGCGGCGTCCACGCCAAGGAGCTGAGCCTTCCCGGCCCACACAGACGCCGAGGAGCGCCCTCCCAGACGGGGCTACGACTCAGTGCCTGGCGCGGGGGCGGGCTCGGCGGTGACTTAATCCGGGCTGGGTTTGGTGGTGGTAGTGAGGGCAGGCAGGGGCACTGCCCATTTTGGCCAAGGGTCACACAGCATTTACATCACAATTGCGCCGGAGCTTAAAAATGTCTGGCCCTCTCCCTCCCCACCACCCGCGGCTGTGTCCAGACAATGTTCTAACGCTGGGGGCGGCTGCGGATGAAGTCCTTGGGGAGAAAAGGAGCAGGCCAAAGGCGATGGTGGAGTAGAGCTGCCTCGCAGAGGCAGCATGAGCTGAGAGGGTGATAGGAAGGAGGCGCTAGACAGGATGGAGGACTTTCTGCTCTCCAATGGGTACCAGCTGGGCAAGACCATTGGGGAAGGGACCTACTCAAAAGTCAAAGAAGCATTTTCCAAAAAACACCAAAGAAAAGTGGCAATTAAAGTTATAGACAAGATGGGAGGGCCAGAAGGTGAGCTGGGGCCCCTTTGGAGGGAAGGAGGGCTGGCTGAAGGCGGTGGGTGCTTCCTCCTGTTGAAAAGATCATTCGATCACTCCCTGCGCCCACTGGCCTGGAACCAAGCAAGCCGGATGGCAGCTCTGGAGTGGGTCAGTGGGTAACAGGGATTCTGGGAGTCCAGGAACATTACACCCCCCAAAATGCAAGATTAAAGTGGCATGAGGTGAAGGATCCTCAGAGGCAAAACCTGAGCCAGGCTTTCCTTTCCGGCAGGGGAACAGAGACTGGCAGAGGCCACAGCCAGGGCTAGTAGAGAACAGGGGCTGGTGCCAAGGCCCGTGGAGATGGGAAAAAGGAAGACAGGGCTCATGGAAAGAACTACGGGGTCAGGGGACAGCGGCGGGAGGAGCTGGCTCACCAGCCTGTGGACAAATCAGGCCTGATAATTTGATTCTGTGGCTTTGTCTAAAAGCACCTAAAGCACCTTGATATCCAGTCTCACAGACTGCTCAACAGTCCACGAGGCTGGTGGGAGTGGTTCTTTTTTGAATGATACACTAATGACAAAAATAATAGAAGTAAACATTCTTTGCAATGTCCAAGCAGCTAGACACATTTAAGACCATTAAGGGAGCCAAGAAAGAAGACCCAGACAAGGTGGGCAGAAGTTGGAAGGCAGGAGACAGGTGTGAGGAGGTGGGCCTTTCTGATCTGCCAGCCCATCTCTCCTCCCCTTACTTCCTCAGAGTTTATCCAGAGATTCCTGCCTCGGGAGCTCCAAATTGTCCGTACCCTGGAACACAAGAACATCATCCAGGTGTATGAGATGCTGGAGTCTGCCGACGGGAAAATCTGCCTGGTGATGGAGCTGGCTGAGGGAGGGGATGTCTTTGACTGCGTGCTGAATGGGGGGCCATTGCCTGAGAGCCGGGCCAAGGCCCTCTTCCGTCAGATGGTTGAGGCCATCCGCTACTGCCATGGCTGTGGTGTGGCCCACCGGGACCTCAAATGTGAGAACGCCTTGTTGCAGGGCTTCAACCTGAAGCTGACTGACTTTGGCTTTGCCAAGGTGTTGCCCAAGTCGCGCCGGGAGCTGAGCCAGACCTTCTGCGGCAGCACAGCCTATGCCGCCCCTGAGGTGCTGCAGGGCATTCCCCATGATAGCAAGAAAGGTGATGTCTGGAGCATGGGTGTGGTCCTGTATGTCATGCTCTGTGCCAGCCTACCTTTTGATGACACAGACATCCCCAAGATGCTGTGGCAGCAGCAGAAGGGGGTGTCCTTCCCCACTCATCTGAGCATCTCGGCCGATTGCCAGGACCTGCTCAAGAGGCTCCTGGAACCTGACATGATCCTCCGGCCTTCAATTGAAGAAGTTAGTTGGCATCCATGGCTAGCAAGCACTTGATAAAAGCAATGGCAAGTGCTCCCCAATAAAGTAGGGGGAGAAAGCAAACCCAAAAATCCGCTTCTAAAATAGTGATATATATTTTACGCCTTAAGTTTACTTATCCTAAAACTTACATCTACTGGAGCCTTACTACCACTCTTTCCTTTTAGAGATCTTCATGGAATCAAAGGGCCTCATTCAGACTTGCTTTTTTTTTTTTTTTTCTCCTTGCTCTGTCGCCCAGGCTGGAGTGCAGTGGCACGATTCCAGCTCACTGCAACTCTGCTTCTCAGGTTCAAGCGATTCTCCTGCCTCAGCCTCCCTAGTAGCTGGGATTACAGGCACCTACCACCACACCTGGCTATTTCTGTATTTTTAGCAGAGATGGGGTTTCATCATGTTGGCCAGGCTGGTCTCGAACTCCTGACCTTAAGTGGAGGCCTGCCTCGGCCTCCCAAAGTGCTGGGATTACAGGCGTGAGCCACCAGTGCCTGGTCTGACAAGTGATTTTCATACTAAAGTTAATTAAAATAGACCCCAGAATCATATACAAACAGGGGGAGGAGAGGAGAAAAACGACCAAGAACAACTGAAGCCATTGTTGTTGCAACTTCCTTTCCAAAGAAAAGCAGAGGTGTCGGGAGTGCAGAGATGGCCTCCCGACTCCTTGTCCCAGTGAGAGGCCTGTTGGGAGCCCTGTCCCTTTCTTATCCCAAAGGCAAAGCTGAATCTGGGATGAGGACAAGCGATGTCCTCTAGACCCAGGCTATCCCTCTACCCTGTTTCTGGCTCCAAGTGGGAAGCCAGTCCTGCCCTGGCCCAGTGCAGCTGCCAAGGGGACAAAAACAGACCCCAGACACCTTCCAGCTTTGGTTGAATCACTTTAATGCTGTTAACGGCAAGTCTGTAAAAGGTTCAGGACAAAGTTCTTTTTTCTTTCTTTTTTAATTATAAAACTAACAGCTGTTAGAATCTTTTTTTTTTTTTCCTTTTTTCTTTTCCCAGCTACAAAATACTCTGGGGAGATGCATTATAATTTAAAATATATAATATTGCACAAACAACCAAAAAGTTAATTAAACTAAAGAAATAATTACAAAGAGAAAAACCCCATCCCGTCAAAAAAAAGATTCAGCATTCTCTCCAACCCACCCCCTCACTGAAGGTTTGAAGTAGAAGTGACCCCACTCTCTCGGTGTCCCTGACCACGATCCCTTTCACTCGCTGGTGAGCACACCAGATTAGGTACAAGAATCACCAGAGCAGCATCGTGAAGCACCAGGCTCTCCAGAGATTCCTGCAGCCCCTCATTCCCCCAGAGGTGCAGCTTTACCAGACTGGAGGGTGAGAGCGCAAAGGCTGGGTCTGTCTTCAGGAAGAAGAGCTTTTGCAGAAGCCTGATGAGAGTTTCAAGTTCACCCCCAGGATAGCCCTTCCAGAAGCAGAAGGGCTGAGGCGGAGAAGCTAGGCTTACCAGAGTTGTAAGTACTCGGCTGTGATCACCGCTCTGTACCGCTGGTAGCTGTTTTGTGTCCTAAGCTACAGGGGAGTTGAGGTGGGTAGCTGGTTGGACAAGGTATCCTGCCAGGCAACACACAGAAGGGCCTCAAGTGGCCCCCTCCCTTCTTGGGGAGGGGAAGAAATGCAAGAGCGAACTCCCGCAGGTGGCACAGCTGGGCTAAGGACTTGGGTGCATCTGACATGAAGAAGCCCTGGGAAGGCATAGGGACAGACCAGCGTGGGCTGGAGGAAAGGAAGGAGGTGGGTCAGGGTTTGGTCTCTGGATTCTGAACCCCAAAGGAGCCTTTCCAGGAATGGAAAATGCCTGGGAAGGGGAGATTCCCAAGAGAGGAGAGGCAAATTTCCCAGAGGTAAGTGCATCTTACCCACTGGGATAGGAACCAAAATGTGTTTGCTGTCCCTGTTTAGCCAAGGGTAGGTGGCGTGGCCCTCCCTGCCTGCTTATGGTGGACAGTGTGTGTTGTCTCGGCTTCCTCCGAGAGACTGGTGGTTTAGCTTCTGTCTACACAGGCAGAAGGGCTAGAACTATCCCTTGGGACTTCCCAGCAGGAGTCCTCAGGAACACTGGGTGTTCAGCAGAAAAAACACAGGCTCTTCTGGTGACGGGGGATAGGTTTCCTCTCCCTCGGGTCATCCTATTGTTGGCACAAGTCAGAGTTCCTGGCCGGGATTTAGAGAGCCCCTTTCCAGGCATGAGCAGAGGCCCAGAGGGCCAGCAGGGAGCCACCAGAATCTGTGCCCAGAGCTCTGGTTGGCAAAGGAGATTTGGGGGGACATTCTCAGAGTCTTCCAGGGCTGGGCTGAGACGAACGAGGGAGGCGAGAGATGCCATGGGTGGGGGAGCTGCTCCCTCTGGCTCCCTTACTCCCAGTCCTCCCACTCTACATCTTCCAGCTGCAGATGGGAGGGGGTAATGGAGATCACAAACACATAGTTACTCCTGAGTCAGGCCCAGACCTAACCTCCCCTTGCTGAGCAGAGCCACCTCCCATCCCCTACCTTAGGCCATACTCTGCCCCCTACTGAGAGTGAACCCCTAGTCTTAAGGAATGTGTCTGAGGGGCAGAGCTGCCCTCTGCTTGAGGGGTGGGCCTGCTGCTCTGATTATTTCAGACCTAAAGGAAACGCTTCCGACAACCAACACCAGACACCACAAGGTGATGGCTGCCTACAGGAACCAAGTCAGCCCCAGTCCTTTAAGGAGAACTTGCCTCCTGCTGAGCAGATAATGCCATGGCTCTGAGATGCAGATAATTAGGAGGCCTGAGCAGATACTTGGCCTTGGTCACAAAAGAACAGTGTAATCAAGGGCAAGTTACTTAGCCTTTGGGTGAATGGGGGCCACTCTCCAAGTGGCACTATGGTTAAAAACAGAGGTGGCAGTGGCCTAAGGTGCCCACTAGGTCTTCACTAGGGGCACCAACACCCTAATTCCCAGCTCAAGTCTCCCCACAGAACCTTTTCTTGCTTTGTTCCTACTCTTGGCCTGCTGTCGGCTAAGCCCTGGTATAAGAGGTTCTAGAATGCTCAGGTGTATTGCAATCAGGTTTTAAAGGGGGCTGCAAAGACACAAAAAGTCAGCAAGCCCCTGTGGCCTGACAGGGCACTATAGGCCTTCTCTGTCCTGAGTATAGTGAGGTAGTCACAAGTGCAAAATACTCCTGTAGACAGAATACTCCCCCAAGGCTTCAGTTTCCCGTCATGAAAAAGGAGGCCCTTCACAGGTCTCTCTAATCTGTCCACCTCTTTCTAACAGGCTCATGAGTTACACGATGGAAGGACTCATGTGGTTCTTATGTGACAGTGGAAGTAATGCTGACATGAATCAGATATCTGGGCTGCAGCCTCAGTCCTGTCATTAATTAGCTGGGAGAGCTTTGGACTGTTCCAGCCTCTGAATCTAAATGAGCCACTTTTGATTCTGAGAGGTAGTGAAGAATAACAGTACTAAGGCCTCTTTGAGCTGAATAACTGGAATGGGTTTTGTGGGGTTTATCACTAATGTCTCCTGAGTGCCACCATGTCTCAGGCACTAGCCCTAAGGTGTCTACATGGATCACCTCATTACAGCTTATAAGCCAGGTCTTATAATAATCAATTCCATGTTTTAGATGAGGAATCAGGGGCTTAGGTTAAGTAACTTGCCCTTGATCACACTGGTCTTTTGTCTCCAAGGCCAAGTATATACTCAGGCCTCATACCTGGGGACCACAACTCAGAAGGTCAGGTAGGGTTTGATGTCTTTTTTTTTTCAAAAATAGAAATGGGGTCTCACTATATTGGCCAGGCTGATCTTGAACTCCTGGCCTCAAGCAATCCTCCCACCTTGGCCTCCCAAAGTGTTGGGATTACAGGCGTGAGCCACCGCGCCCAGCACGGCATCTGTTTTCTTAAGCAGTTTCTCAGGCAATTTTAATACAGAGCTAATGTCAAGAACTCTCCCCTCTATCTACCCTGGAACTGAGGGGAAGTGGAGCCTACCGATGACCACTGTTGTGGATCTGAGCAGGAAGCTCCAGCTCCTTTCCCACAACCTATCACCTCAGACAGGAGCAGTGACCCTCCTGAGGGGACAGCTGGGCTGGCTGGGGAGAGTTCTCACATCCAGGACCATTAGGCTCGCGTCCCTCTGACCCACCAGGCCCACTCACCTCCCCAGAGGCATCCACTTTGGAAAGTGCCATCTGCACTTCCTCTTCGGTCATGTCCAAGTCAAAGTCTTTCTCCCAGTCCTCACTGATGTCTGTGCTTGAGCCTGGAACCACGAGCCACAGTGTGAAAAGCAGGAGGAGGCAGGGAAGGGACACTTGAAGAGGGTGTAGCTGGGGAGATAGCACGCTTTAAAAGGGTCTCACAAATACACAAGTCTTTACATTCTGTGTTCACTCTGGCACAGCAATCCCACTTTTTTGTTTTGTTTTGTTTTCTTAGATGGAGTCTCGCTCTGTCGCCCAGGCTGGAGTGCAGTGGTACGATCTTGGCCCACTGCAACCTCCGCTTCCCAGGTTCAAGCGATTCTCCTGCCTCAGCCTCCCAAGTAGCTGGGACTACAGGAACATGACCCCATGCCCAGCTAATTTTTGTATTTTTAGTAGAGACAGGGTTTCACCATGTTGGCCAGGCTGGTTTCAAACTCCTGACCTCAATGATCCGCCCGCCTCGGCCTCCCAAAGTGCTGCAATAACAGGCGTGAGCCACGGCGCCTCGTCCCCACTTTTAAGAATCTATTCTAAGGAAAAATCCTGGATTCAGTCAGGAATTTAGCAAAGAGTGTTCACTGCAGTGCTGTCATAGTGATGGAAACCTAGAAACAATCTGAAAGTCCACTGACAGGGAATTAGACAAGTAAATAGTGAGTTACATGATGGAACACTATAGGCTGTCAGAGGTTAGGCTGGAGAAGAACTTTACATCCATGCCAAACAGCCTTAAACTATTACCTCAGAAAAAGCAGGCTACTAAAGAGTGGAGAAGCACTGTGGCTCAGAGGCTCCGAGAGTCACAGAAATCTTCCAGAGGAAATAAACAGTGAACTGAGACCTTGTCTCTAGAAAAAAATTTAAAAATTAGCCAGGCATGGTAGTGCACACCTGAGGACCAGCTACTCAGGAGGCTGAGGTGTGATGATCACTTGAGCCCAGTTCAAGGCTGCAGTGAGCTATGATCATGCCACTGGTGACAGTGCAAAACCCTGTCTCTAAACAAAACAAAAACCTCCCCTCAAACCCAAAACAGTGAACCTCTTCCTCCTCACTCCATTCTGCCCATACTAATCCTGTTCCTCCAGAAACACACCAGGCGCATTCCCAACTTAGGGCTTTTGCATGGGCTGTTCCCTGCACCTGGAACTCATCTCCTCAGATACCCACAAGACCAACTTGTCACCTCCTTCACGCCATTGCTCAAATCTCACCTTCTAGATGTGGTCTACACTGACCATCCTAAAGAGCAACCGATCATCACCCTCACTCTGTTCTAGTTTTTTGTTTTTTTTGTTTGTTTGTTTTGTTTTTTTTGAGACCGAGTCTCGCTCTGTCATCCAGGCTGGAGTGTAGTGGCACAATCTCAGCTCACTGCAACCTCTGCCTCCTGGGTTCAAGAGATTCTCTTGCCTCAGCCTCCTGAGTAGCTGGGATTACAAAGACACCTGCTACCACGTCCAGCTAATTTTTGTATTTATTTATTTTTGAAACAGTCTCACTCTGTCGCCTAGGCTAGAGTGCAGTGGTGCAATCCTGGCTCACTGCAACCTCCGCCTCGCAGGTTCAAGTGATTCTCCTGCCTCAGCCTCCTGAGTAGCTGAGATTACAGATGCGCACCACCATGTCTGGCTAACTTTTGTATCTTTAGTAGAAACAGGGTTTCACCATGTTTGCCAGGCTGGTCTCAAACTCCTGACCTTAGCTGATCCGCCCGCTTCGACCTCCCAAAGTATTGGGATTATAGACGAGAGCCACCACGCCTGGCTCTGGATTGATCTTTTTTCCATTGTAGTGATCACTTCTAACATATTACATAATCAGACTTAATATGTTTATTGTCTATTAATAGAGGAGTTAGAATATGAGCCCTATGAGGGCAGGGATCTTTTGTTTTGTTCTCTTATGTATTTCAAGTTCTTAGAACACATAGTTGGCACTCAATAGTCACAGACCCTTTCTGTAAACCAGGGGTTGGCAAACTATGGCCCATGGATCAAATCCAGCCATGTCACATCATTTGTTTACATACTGTCTATGGCTGCTTTCATGCTACAAGAGCGGAGATCAGTAATTTCAACTGCATGGCCCAAAAAGCCTAAAATATTTATGGTCTGGTCCTATACAGAAAAAGTTTACCACCCCCTGCTCTGTGTGATTCTGATGCCTGTCTGTACTATTTGACGATCATTGCTCTAAACATTCATATTTGGCTATGACTTCTTATAGGCAATATTAAAAGTGTATATATAAAAGTTATTAAGAAGCAAACTACACAAATAGTTCCGTTCAATAAAGCATGTACAGTATCATTCCAGCTTTAAAATGTGCCCACAGGCCAGGCGTGGTGGCTCAAACCTGTAATCCCAGCACTTTGGGAGGCCGAGACAGGCGGATCACAAGGTCAGGAGATTGAGACCATCCTGGCTAACTCGGTGAAACCCTGTCTCTACTAAAAAATACAAAAAACTAGCCAGGCAAGGTGGCGGGCGCCTGTAGTCCCAGCTATTTGGGAGGCTGAGGCAGGAGAATGGCATAAACCCGGGAGGCAGAGCTTGCAGTGAGCTGAGATCTCGCCACTGCACTCCAGCCTGGGTGACAGAGCGAGA